TCGAGAGACTCACCTGGAACCCAGCTGAATCTCTCGTTTATGATGTTCTCAGGCAACTGAATGTGCTGCACCAGGCCGCCTCATGTTTCAGTCGCTACGGTATTTGAAATATCGCGACACATGTATATCTTTGTAATGTACTACTCATAAGGTTGCTGAAAATCTGTCGACAGCCCACGACCGGTTTCGCCCTTCTAGAAATAGCTATTGTTTTTCGGATGCAAGTTTGCAGCTGCAGAGTGGGTTGAGTGATATATAGGAATATGGATGGACCTGTTTATCTGGGAATCTCCTTCGTGCTTTATGAGGCTATAACAAACGTCCGCCGGAATGCAATTCTCTTCATCTTTTAAGGAACGTTTCTTGAACGATTGGTGGGTTCATTGATGGGCAACACTTCGTTTGTTACAAAGCATATTTGTCAGATCAAGTGAATAAATTGCAGGTCTGCTGGAAATTTAAAGTAGGAAATGCAGAATAAATAGGCGAAAGCTGTTTCGACTAGCAGACTAAATCTGTATTCAACAGTTAGAGGCATTGTCAGATATTACCCAGTTGCGCCCTCAATGGCGCTCGTGCATTCAAGAGATTGCCTTCAATGAATACCTCCCTTCCCAATGCCCCGACTTAATAGTCCACTAACAGTGCCGTATTTACGCGCCAATTTATCAGCTTCGGCCTCCAATGTGAAGTCTCCTACCCCACCTCCCCAAATCATTGGCGGACGAAATTGTGACAGCTGCAGATGATGATGATGATGATGATGATGATGATGATGATGATGGTGATGATGAGCTTTCATTGTCGGTTAGAAGGTGTTAGTTACTGTAGGCAACTGAATTCTACAGTTGATGGGTCAGAGAGCAGAGAATGGTCATTTCGAATGGGTTTCGGAGCCCGATAATTCCTGTTCGGGCGAATTTCGTTTGCAAGTTTACAAGTTTCTCTTCTATACGGACTAGTAAGCACGAGGACAAATGGATGACGCGATTGGGAGGAATTAAATAGATTTCTTTCGGTTTGTGATTTAGATCCAGGCCACTCCTCTTTGCTGCGAAGGTCCGGACGGTCACTCATCTTATATTTTATACTACTATATCAACAATGAGATATTTGGTGACTTTAACCGTTCCTGTGTGACCCTCTCCCTATTCTCCTTATCCTGGATGAACGAAGCTGTAGCAGGTGCGGTCACTGGACTTGAAAGTGTGGTCTGTGAGCTTGAAAAACTCAACCGACTACGCCAAGATCTATCTTGTGTCCATTGTCCGGGCAAATGTCGAATAAGTGTCTATTTTCTCGCAGCCCAGTGATCCCATGGGACTGCGACAACAGTATAATCAGCCGTTTGCTTCAGTGTTGTTCACTACAGTTGCCGGTCACAAAACCTCCCTTACTGCACAACACGTGGATCTCCACAGGTTTGCCGCTGCAAAGAGAAGGCACAGCAGTCCAGACCAAGAATTACGACATTGGTGAAAATCTGATAAGATAACAATATACGATATACAGTTTGGGCCATGAAAAGGGTGAAACTGAAAAACAAGTGGACAGATGTTAACAGCCATTCGGGAGGGAACGAACCTGGAGCAATACTACTTAATGGTGCAATAGAGGTGGAGAGCTGTTCCCCAGAAGTCAGTCAGGGTCATCAGAATTGATCCAGAAATGGCATATCCCGAACGGAATGTTCGCCACTTCACCGTATGGACTAGGACTGTCGCTCGAAGCCGCTTGCCTCAATTGCCGAAGAGCATGTCAGAGCATCCAGTTTTTCAATCTCACCGATTCGTTCCCAGAACCGGGCGATTCTCGCAACATCAGAGGGGTAAAGCTCCTTGTGACTGTAGTTTCTCTGTATTTCGGAACCCTCAGTGAGGTCAGCCTTCTCCTCACTCCTTGTGAGGAAGCCCTTAAAGATGGGCTCAAGCATGGGGCTCCACGCCTGTACGCAACATAAGATGAGGATTAGCATAAAACTTATGTGTGTGTGGGAGACATGAAAACCAAAAGCATTCGTCTTAGTCGATGCTGCATTTACCTATCTAGACGCCAGCCGACCCTGAATGAAAGCCTAAATTCGGCTGTGATTTCAATCCCTAGGTCTCTCTCCCGATCGGATACATTCGGAACCGGTAAGTGAACGGTTGGCCTCTGCTGCATTGATTCACGTTACATTGTGATGAATCGTCTTTTCCTTTCATCGCTAAAGGAAATGGCTACTTTTCCATGAAAGTAGTTAACGGGGAAGAATTTTCCTGGGGTGAATTTTAGTGAGGATCAGGTAGAATCCAGGTCCAAGACATTTAAGGCATCAACAAGTGTTGTTCCGATCCAATGGATACTCGATTTGTTTGATTCTTGGTCTCAGTGATTTTTTATATCACCCGCTTTTGTCGTCCTTCAACTAATCTTCATGTGTTATTGACACACACGCACACACAACAGGCATGCATAAAGAGACAAGACAAACAGTTGAAACACGTTAGACGAGGCGGTAACAATTCTGTTTTTCTTCTCGCCAGACTGTGCCAAATCGTTCACCTGACAGTGATTTGTAAGGCATGTAACATCCTTACCGTTAGTTTTGTTAGACGGTGAACCTTTCGTATGTTGCGCAAAGATTGTCCGTCAAATTTTTGTGTAAATAAACCCACCTGTTCTATCCAAGATCCAATTTAACTGTTCTACTGTTCTTTCGATCTTTGATCTACAGCGCATAGCCGTTTATCGGCTAGTGGACTACAAAATATAGGGCAATTACGTTTTGACAACCTGAAAGTTGATGAAACGGCTGCAGTCGTAATAACTGTCACCAGCGGCCTTCGTGAACTTAACTTAGTCTAAGCACTGTCATCTCCACCACGTGCAAATCGTATACTATTCTTAGCTGACGTCATAAAAATCGTATTTCATTACTCCCGATAATGCTTGTCTGATTTTAGTGAGAACATCAGCTTTGAATGACAAAATCGGGAACTTCTACCCATAGTTCACCCCCCTTATCGATTGTACTCATCTATTCATTGTCTTTAAACGTGCAAGCGTGTCGTGTGAGGCAGGTCTCTCATTCATACTGAATTAAAGCAAGGTAGCCGAACATTTCGGACCAAACATGACATCGTTTGACCGTAGTCTGCGACTTCCTGGAACTGCCTGGCATACCTTGGATTGCTTTCAAAACTGATATATCACCATGCCACAATCAAAGTTAACTCCTTTTAAAGTAATGGATCTGCGCACCACAATATCGTCAAGGGAGAAAACAAATCCTTGAGTGGCTATTTCGAGTAGTTCAACATCTGGGTGAATGTCGAACGTTTAACAACGCTATTTCGCTCATTTAGCACGCCCAGATTGACAGAGTAAGGCAGTTGCTATTCATCAAGCAACTCAGGGTCTGTGCACTCGAAATAGGTCACATGCGCACCGGAAGTTCCATGGTCTGATTGACCAATTGTCCGGTAGCTTCAATGTCTATTCAACGGGGACTCCATGGAATACACTTGTACAATGGGTGTACAGGGTTGAACACTCTTGTGACGTCAAGACGGGTTTGGTGGCTGTTGTGGGTGTACAGGGTGTGACGTCAAGACGGGTTTGGTGGCTGTTCTGATTCAGGAACAAACAGGACTAGCAGAAATGTCATCAAACCATTCAGCAAGAGTGTAGGCAGGTCATTTGGGTTCGAAAGATCTGGAATGAAATGTCAAAATCACTGTGGACGAGACAACACCACGTGTGGTTCGTACGAATTTGTCACATTCGTTGATGGATTTCCTGTGTTTTATACCACGCAATCAAAAGGTTTGTTTGATTTCCACTGGGACCGGAAATAATTAAATTTTACTCACCTGAAAGAGGATTATTGTCAAAAATGCTGCGGATTCTCTACTTTCGTCACCAACTGTAGTTGTGGTTTTTTCACAACGCGATCCTCGAGAATGACCTAGAGAGCATGTGATATTCGGAACTACGACGGTTCTGCTTTGAAATTCGACAGAACCATGCTTCTACCTGTTATTCAAACTGGTAGGTAAACGCACTGCTATGGAAAAGTACCATTACACGCACACCCTGTGTGGGCCTGGAGTTTCAGATTTACATCGAAACAGTGTTCGTACAATGACGCTCCTAGAACTCAGTATGCACAGCAGCAATAATGATGTTGGCTGTTGTGCATGGATAGCCATTTCGGAAGCAGAAGGAAGCATGGGGGCTTGGATACTGCCGGGTCGCCCAAGCCTAGACAGAAGAAGTCGAGAGGCAGAGGTCGGGTTCGAACCACTGACTTTCCGATCAGTAAATTTGTGCTTTAACCACTTGGGTCATCTCTCGTCTCATGACAAATGGCTACTAATTGACTCATTGACTATCCAACGGTCAAAAAAATGAATGATTTCTCTTTTCCCGCTATTCGGAAACTCCCATCAAGAAGGGAACCGCTTCGCCGGGCGGCTGATACAGTATCAAGCCGTACCACCCCGTGTTGTGCTATTTGCTATCGTGATGTTGGTGTTACTATATAATATAGATGCGATAGTAGTATATCAACCCCACAAATCCCCAAAACTATCAACAGATAATAGAATCTGCCCGTCATGAAAGAAGAACCGGCAAAACCAAGACGGTTACTATAGTACTGCTGAAGCCGTCGTGCCGACCAATCATACATCTCAAGCTTGAACACTTTTGTCTGTTCGGACATGATAAATCAGGCGCATCCATCGTACACTGATGGAACGGTGGTAGCGAGATCGCCTATCAAACCAGCAGTCCGTGTTCCGAATCACGCCACCGTGGTGGACAGGCACCGTTGAGGAGTTCGTTCCAGATCGAAGCTGGGATCCGCCATTCCCACGTTTTGGTACGGATAAGCCTGAATAATTGTGCCACTGACGGAGCGGAAACCTCCTTCAGCCTTCAATTGTAAGCCAATGTAAAGAATCTGTCCTTCAGATCCCATATTTTACCGTTACGGAAAGTGTTTGCACAAACATATCGGGCTTATAACCCTAGCTTGTAAAGACAGATATCCAACGGGTCCACCTTTAAAAAGTATTCACACAAGGGACGATAGAGTTAGTCGTATTTTTGCTCCAGATCGCATCTTTAAACATGCCCAACCCATACTCCGGCATATTGTGCGAAATCAAGAAGCAAGCACACAGTCTAGAGCGATGATAAAAACTTTTTTTTTCATTCGGCACAATGGTTCTATTCATTTCGTATGACTGATCGATCACAAGCCAGGAAAAAGACCCTTTGTAACTTGTAGAAGATGTTTCGTACTCGGGCTATTGGTTTAACATCGTGTGCAGCTAGCTGAGTCGAAGAATGCACACAACGGCCTATTTTCAGCTACTTCGGATCTATCAATGTATGAAAGGATAACGGTTGTATTCATCAACCAAGAAGGTCATCCGCTTGATTGTTCGTCTGTACGCCTAGCTTGGCAGTTGGATCGCAAGCATTTCATCACCAACCGTCAATTCACTCAACCCTGCACTGACGATGTCACCTCAATTGGTGATGAAACGTTTGCAATGCAACTGCCAAGCTCGGCGAACAGACCAACGACCAAACAGCACACCCGAGCTACCTACATTCCATTGCTAGGTCATCTGCATCTGGGGTTTTCATCTTCTGGTCCATGCCACACAGCATTTGTTTGGCTGAAGCCCTCTGACTAATCACCTGTAAGTCATACACGAAAAATTCGCCTTAAATGGGAGGAAAATGAGAAATAGTTTAGATTGAGAAATTCAAGGAATTCCGGAAAAAAGCGGGGATAAATAGTGTGTGTGTGTGTGTGTGTGAGAGAGAGAGAGAGAGAGAGAGTAAGCATGCAGCTTCCTCACATGCATCTCGCTTCTTCGAGATAGCCTTGTGCTTGAAAGCAATGGCCTTTTAAAGTTCACCACGATTATCCAGTGGCTAAGATCACGTACAGTCTCGGCCTTTTCCCCACTACTCACCGCTGACCTGTGACATGAAATTCATTTGCTCAATCGTGTACACAGCTGACTAGCATCCGTTTTCGTTCCTACCTGTTGCATCGGAATACGCCAGTGGAAGCCTTCGCAGGATTGAGGAGGCCTCATGTGGTGTGTCTTGGTCGGCTTGCACGATAAGCTGAACTCATCGATGTTCGCTTCGGAGAGAACAAGGGCCTGTATTATGCATGAGATGAGCATGGGTAACAACTAAGTGGCACTTTGCACGTAGCTATGCTCAGTTAAACAGAGTCACCTTCACTCCCACAATGACATCAATCTGATGGATATTGCGCTGAACACCGTTACGGAGAATCCATTTTGAAACCTTTAGATTCCTAGAAGAGAACATTACTTTTTAGGGAGTTCGCTTGTGTTCTTTGAGCTCTCTGGCCCAGTTCGTCGACACACCAATTAAAAGTGAAGAAAGAAAATAATGACCTTGAATTGGTCTTCCACTTCCCAAAAGTCTACTGGGGCGGACCAAAAAATATCAGCTGTTGATGAGATTTTATCAGACTAGTACATGAGGTCATCACTCAAAACATCGTTTCATCCCTCCATTACATTGTAGCATCCAAATCACCGAATTTCACTCTAACTGCATTCCAATTTATTTGTTTCTTAGACGAACCGCTTGAGCACGGTTTTTATACCAATACTCCAAGAAGTACGCCCATTGGATCGGCTGATGGTGATAACTGGGGACGTAGGGGGTGAGGAGGAATTGGGGTTGATGACAATATTCGTGTTTCTAAAGCATCCCTAAAGACCTTTTGTCATTCTGACATTTCTGACAAGATCGGGCCTGCTATCCAGTCGATCGCAAAAACCGCATCGGAGTCGATACCACACCGCTAGCACATTCGGTGGCTGATCAAAATCGCATATTCAGTCAACTCACCCGTTTTTCCACGCACCAACGTGAAACATAGCTGTGCGGCAGCGAAGCACCAGTGTCCTCATCCGGTGTTACAGCCAGTGCTGTTATTGCTGCTGCTGCTGCCGCCGATGAGGACGATGAGGACGACTGCCAACGAACAAACTTTGCCATTGCGCGTGCGCATGAAGAGCCACTGTCTCTGTTCTCTTCCCTGGATGGGATGTGTGCGGTGCCGTAAAGGGGATCCAAAACCTTCATTTCATGGGGTATGGTATGACGTTGGTGCAACCCTAGTAAGGTAAGTCAGGCATTTCTGCTCACTTTGAGGATGTGACGCAGACAGACCACCTGTCTGGATCAAACAGTATCCAGTTCGAACGGATAGCGAAGCCCGCTGAAACCAAGCTTGCCAAACGAAAGACCGGTAGCTTTCGGCCGGTGGTGTGCGCAGCCAGGACGGAATGCCGGGCCGCCAGCTATACTGATAAATTGGTTACACTCTTGATAGGTACCAAATGTTGCAGGTGAATTGGGGCTTCACGACCGGACTTGTCAGGACCCCTGGTTTGTGATGGGCACTCGGAAACTTCTTCATAGCGGTCCACAGCTCAGTATATTCTTCTATGCTTAGCTGCTTCTTTGTGTAGATTTCATCAAAGTGTTGGATTTTGTCAGTCTCTCGTCTTCCGAATATACTTCAGAAGAGGAGACGAAAATAAACCGGCTATCGTAGAAAGTCTGACAGATGGAAACAGAAGCGGAAATAAGCGATCAAGTACCCACAGCACATAGAAGATCACGATCGTAGGAAGTGTAGAGATCATTGACAAATATCATATCCCTCAGATGGCTGATATTCTGTCACGCTGTTTAAACACCTGGGATGTTTGCCCTGTGGAGCACCTGTTGTTATTCTTCGTACATACTTTGGGGGAGGGAGTCATAATGCAATGGCCGGAGAAGCTTGGTGGGCACATATGTGCACGGAGAATATGATGCGGTTCACACACATGGTTTGACCGATCGTCGAGCCTTGTAAGAACGGAAAAAACCGTTCAGGTATGCGGAAAAAGCAACTGAATGTTTTAAGATCACCTGTTGGTATACAAGGAAATGGATGGAGCATAGGGACTGAAAAGAAATGCGAATCACTTGTAACAGTCCTCGGTGCCTCACAGGATAGTGATGGATGTGTCTTTTTTCATTTTACGCAATACAACATAGTACAATACAATACAATGCAATGCAATACAATACAATTCAATACAATACAATACAATACAATACAATACAATACAATACAATACAATACAATACAATACAATACAATACAATACAATACAATACAATACAATACAATACAATACAATACAATACAATACAATACAATACAATACAATACAATACAATACAATACAATACAATACAATACAATACAATACAATACAATACAATACAATACAATACAATACAATACAATACAATACAATACAATACAATACAATACAATACAATACAATACAATACAATACAATACAATACAATACAATACAATACAATACAATACAATACAATACAATACAATACAATACAATACAATACAATACAATACAATACAATACAATACAATACAATACAATACAATACAATACAATACAATACAATACAATACAATACAATACAATACAATACAATACAATACAATACAATACAATACAATACAATACAATACAATACAATACAATACAATACAATACAATACAATACAATACAATACAATACAATACAATACAATACAATACAATACAATACAATACAATACAATACAATACAATACAATACAATACAATACAATACAATACAATACAATACAATACAATACAATACAATACAATACAATACAATACAATACAATACAATACAATACAATACAATACAATACAATACAATACAATACAATACAATACAATACAATACAATACAATACAATACAATACAATACAATACAATACAATACAATACAATACAATACAATACAATACAATACAATACAATACAATACAATACAATACAATACAATACAATACAATACAATACAATACAATACAATACAATACAATACAATACAATACAATACAATACAATACAATACAATACAATACAATACAATACAATACAATACAATACAATAGCCATGACTTATTTTGCTAGCCTTTTCCTCATTAGTCCACTTTTGGGACTTTCCACTGAGTGGATACTAACGAGGGTCCAAGAGTATGCAATCGTCCTTTGGTAATCCTCGTATCTCTCACCTTATTGATGTCTTTATATAATCGATGTCGATCTTCAATGCAAACGAGTATGGTATTGTGGTAAAGGTTTTAGAAAGTCTGCGTGCAGTCTACAGGGACCAATATGACCCTGACAGATCCACACACAACCGGACGTGGGGCATCCCGTCTCCTGAGTCCGGTGATTCTGTAAAAACATAGCTGCCAGTTGGAGAAAAATGAATGTTGTTAGGGGCACGAAATTATCCGGTATGTAGCAGCCCAAGTTTCCCAACGATCGTTTCGAGGCTTTTAACAGACGTGCTGAAACTGTTGTACAATGCTTCAGCACGGACGGCATCACCTTTTAGGAGGAAAATTCACATCACCGGGGACTTTTTTGTTCCCTCAAGCCATTCCGATTCATCCAGCCAGAATCCAACAGAATCCACAAAAGTGTTGCTTGCCTATCGTACAAAGCACGGGGGTTGTATTAGAGGATGTCACGGTGTCGTTATCAGTATCAAAGACAGCAACATCTGCGTTGACACCGATGCTTCACTGCTGTACAGTTTATTTGATTGTACCAAAAACCTTAAATTGGAAAGAACGGGAAGGAGTGGATGAGGAAGGGACCTAGTGCTGACGCGTCGCTAACATTCAGAGGTGCTTAAATCTCCAAACACTCGACCAGACGGGGCCCATTGGCCGCACAATGCTCTAAGTTCAAAAACCTTTGCAACTGGAATAAAAGGTTTTGAGCCGAAATGCTGTATTTTGTTGCGTATGTGCTCATACCCAAAATCATTCTAATCTACCTTCACATTTCCGCAGTTCACCAAATTTCATTGTCCCCTGAAGTAATCATACCTCTGGCGGAAAGTCTGGTGGAATACTGTCCTAGCATTGCTGGGTCCCCAGATGTTCAGTGAGGCTCAGTGGACTCATATTCTGAACTCAATTGCCTGTCCCTTTTAGTCCATCAGGGATACGTGGTAGCTTTTGAAAATTCAATTCCATTGTGCGATTACTGAGCGCCCGACCAGACAGCACGGACGCTACTCACGTCGATTAGCCGCCTCCATTTCTTGCAATACCTCCGGTAAAACACGGGCTGGGGTCACGCGGACACCATCCAGCCTTCCATCGGATTGTTTTCCTCTCTACAGCTGCCCATCAGAACTTATGACAGAAAGAATATGAGTCTCGTTAGAGAAAACATTTGCTACCTGGGGAGCATGTTTTACTATGGCTGGATCCTTTTAGTTGCCTCCATTTTTCAGATATAATTTCAACTATCTCAACTGAAACCGCAGTATCCACTTAACTGAACTACCAGACAAGTCGTAACCTGATCACCTTCCACTGAGCTGCTAGTGTCTTACTTCATGGTTACTGCGAGGAACAACTGATGCGCAATCGACGCTTTAACCATGATATCTCTGAAAGAAAACCGTAGGCCAATAGTACACAAAACTAGCACACTGTGCTCTGTTTTGCCCAACGTAATTAGTTGCTGTCCAACATTGCCTGTCAACCAAACTGAGGACTTCTACAACGAGAACTCACATTCACGTCTACTTTGGTACATATACTGTTCACCTTACCGCTCGTAGAGAAATTGTTACTGTTTTTCACTTATGGTTCTACTCTAGCATGATGTTTGTGCGAACCTATACCGAATCGACCAGTTCCTTCGTCAATCGTGGATGCTGTTGCGATCTGATCCTGGTACGCAACGCTGTTGATTCCATTGGCTGGTCACATATATTCGTTGGTCACTGTCTTGGCCGGGAGTTTGCGAGCTAAAACCTGAGGCAAACGTGCACATGGTGGATGGGTCAGTGTACTGAAAATGCACTTATACGCTCCACGGCACATGCCATTGGCACCACAGCTGTCGTTCATTCTGTGTCTATCCTGTGGGTTATGGCTAGGTGTGTCTGTATACCGTTTGCCTGTAAACTGCACGAGAAGCGCATGCGACAGCGAGCGCGTCTAGCCTGCTGCGCCTGTGGCTTGCCAGTGAGTCAATAGCGAAGCGCTTCGCTATCGATCGCATGGACAGTGGCGCTCAGACAGTTTAAACTTCGCACGATCAATCGTTCAAATTACGTTGCTGTGATTTCGCTCCCTGGGGATTGTCTGTCACAACTACAACTACAGCAGGCAGTTTGTTTGTGCGGTTTTGCGTCATTCGATTCCGTGCCTTGTTTTGTGATTGGTGAACGCACTTCACTGATACACCATTGGTAAGCCAAAGTAATCACATTGTCTCATTTCACATTTTAGGTTTTCTTCGGCTATTCTGTCAGCATCCTTGATAAAAGTTTGTATATCTTGAGCGGCACTATTTTTTTCATCAGTTGAACGACCGGATAATGTTTGTACGTCCTTCAGCTGTACGTACCAGCCGTAATCCTGGTCGTCGCCCCATTCCACCCAGGATGCCTGTGAATGAGGCAAACCGACCACTATTACGACAGTTTGTACGAAACCGTCGTTCTGATCCACGTTATGAAGCCTATATCCTGGAGGTCAGGGAAGGACCAGCAGTGAATGGTAATACTAATGCTGCGGCCGGTAAATCTATACCTCAACCATGGGTAACAGTTCGTGACTTTGTACGAGCTAACCAGTCAATCGGACTTCCCGTCTCAATCTGTGATACATTATTAAAGCACCTCCTGACTTGTGTGTCCCTTGAGGTACCAGGTCGCGTGGACAGTTCAGAAGACAGCGAGCTAGCATGCGCCTCACCTACGTCTGCAAATGATCCCCAAGCTAACAGTCCTGCTCGAGCTTCGGGTGATGCCAATTCACCGGCAACGGGAGACGTAACGTCTGAAGAAAATTCCCCTGCAAAGAAAAGCCCTCGGCGACTTCAACCGAAGGTGTTTCAACTATCTCATCTTACACCGATACGTATTGTATGTGAAGCAACCGGGTGTATTCTCGAGGTAACCGCGCGAGATCCAACCGCCAAACGGACGGCCAGTAACCCTGAAGAATCAGAGCAGGTGGCTCAAGTCGATCCATCCAGACGATGGATAATATCTGCTCCTTTGGCCAATTCAACTGGTGAACAGACTATGGACAGTTCCACAGCACCGGGCGGCAAACGGCGGCACCCATGGGAAACACGTGGCATCTTGGAGTTGCACGAGAGCCTGATGCCTCAGCTGTCGGCATTTTTGAGTAAGTTTCAGAAGACTTTTTGGGTGAATTTTAAAGAAAATTCAAGTGTATTACTTTCGATCAGTAAATGGAGTTATAACGTTGTATTGGTTATATCTAATTAGCACGATGACGGATGCTAGCAATTCTGGGTGCGCCTGCTCACTGCACATGAGTGTCCATTTCTCTTGGTTATTTACTGTTGATACCAAAGTAGATTGCTTTGCACAGGCTTCCCCTGGGGGAACGAGCAGACACATTCACCCTCTTCAAGGAGGCATCTCACATAATTGTTCATCTTTGAAAAGGTTGCCGTTGTGGATGCTCTCCAAGAGTGGCTTGTATTCAAAGATTATTATCGTGGCACCATGAAAAAACTAATTCCAGTGGGTACTTTTCCCGCTGCGTTTTTGAGACGCTGCGTTTTTGAGACCCCCCCCCCCCAGGCTTTATTTCGATGCGTCGGGTGGAGTCCCATTTGGTGAAAATCCCAAAAATCAGTGATGTCTAGTTGTCGATGCGGCCGCCATTAACTATTGTTTCCGGCATGTTCTGGTTCCTTTATACTAGCATGCTCTGGTTCTCTCTACAGTCTTCTGTGCGCCTCTGGGATAGCAGCCTGATGCACAATTCAGGTCATGTAAGTCGGTCCGTACATCATGTTTCCTGTTAGCTGGTCCCACAGTGGCCGATTCGTAGCTTGTGCCTCTCAACGTGAACCTCTGTCCCAGCGATTCTCAGATAATCATTCTGTAAAATGTTTGCGGACTAAGTGACCTGGTCATAGATATTCGATGAAATTGTTTGGTCAGCGTTTCTGTGAACTTTACTGGTAATCGGCTTTATCCAGAGATGAGATAGGGAGGAATGCTTGTAAAACACACGGAAGCTGCTTCGATCATGCTGAGGTCATTTTTGAAGGTACCATAATAGTCCGCGAGGTTGTTTAGCGATCTGTGTCCTGAAAGTTGAAGAACCACTGGGCTGAAATAACCGATCCGAGTATCTTATACCGTCTTATTTGGACAATCTGGGATGATTTCAAACCTAAACAAAGCCCCTCAGGATAACATGTCTTTTGACACTGGTTCAGTCATACTCGCCTCTATTGAAGTTCAAAACGACTACTTTGAAAGTTAGGTAGATGGGTCTCCTAATCTGTCCACCAGTTGATGTAGTTAAAAAAACTACTTCAGTTTTCCGCTAGTTTCTTCCAGTATATATGGTCGATTTCTGTTTGAAATGCAGATAAACAGGCCTAATAAAGTTGACGACTCGTGTTCAAGTACGTTGGTTGAAACACTCGAGGATATATTGGGAAACCGGCTGCCTTATTTGCGCTACGTTGATATGTGCTCAGTTACCTCCATAATGTGGAAATTTGAGGCCAATGGCGCATTAGTAATTAGCAAACTAGGAGTTGTGTTCTATCGCTCCGTACAATGATGTTTGAAACTATTTCGGCAACCCTAGTCGTAATAGCTTGTATGGCCAACTCCGACTTTTAGGGAGGGGGGGGGTAAATATGTGACTGTAAGACACCCAGAGCCAAGCCACCGACGTCTGTATCAGAGCTGAAGGAACATGACTTGAGGAAAAGCTAAGAATGGGGAAAATTTCATTCTCTACGCTTTTGGAAATTCTGCGTTCGTTTGGCATTCATCTGACAGCACCTATATTCAGCCACAATTTTTCCAAAAGCGTCACAGAGTAGAAATGACTTGTGCCAGCTCCGTTTTATAGGTGCATTTTTTCCGCGGGATGAAGTTTTCTGGTTCCCTCCTCATCACCATCAGAGACAGCAACATCAGTGTTGACATTGGTGCTTCGCTGCCGTAGAACCACAAATTTCATGGTCCCAGCGATTCTCAGATAATCATTCTGTAAAATGTTTGCGGACTAAGTGACCTGGTCATAGATATTCGATGAAATTGTTTGGTCAGCGTTTCTGTGAACTTTACTGGTAATCGGCTTTATCCAGAGATGAGATAGGGAGGAATGCTTGTAAAACACACGGAAGCTGCTTCGATCATGCTGAGGTCATTTTTGAAGGTACCATAATAGTCCGCGAGGTTGTTTAGCGATCTGTGTCCTGAAAGTTGAAGAACCACTGGGCTGAAATAACCGATCCGAGTATCTTATACCGTCTTATTTGGACAATCTGGGATGATTTCAAACCTAAACAAAGCCCCTCAGGATAACATGTCTTTTGACACTGGTTCAGTCATACTCGCCTCTATTGAAGTTCAAAACGACTACTTTGAAAGTTAGGTAGATGGGTCTCCTAATCTGTCCACCAGTTGATGTAGTTAAAAAAACTACTTCAGTTTTCCGCTAGTTTCTTCCAGTATATATGGTCGATTTCTGTTTGAAATGCAGATAAACAGGCCTAATAAAGTTGACGACTCGTGTTCAAGTACGTTGGTTGAAACACTCGAGGATGTATTGGAAAACCGGCTGTCTTATTTGCGCTACGTTGATATGTGCTCAGTTACCTCCATAATGTGGAAATTTGAGGCCAATGGCGCATTAGTAATTAGCAAACTAGGAGTTGTGTTCTATCGCTCCGTACAATGATGTTTGAAACTATTTCGGCAACCCTAGTCGTAATAGCTTGTATGGCCAACTCCAACTTTTAGGGAGGGGGGGGGTAAATATGTGACTGTAAGACACCCAGAGCCAAGCCACCGACGTCTGTATCAGAGCTGAAGGAACATGACTTGAGGAAAAGCTAAGAATGGGGAAAATTTCATTCTCTACGCTTTTGGAAATTCTGCGTTCGTTTGGCATTCATCTGACAGCACCTATATTCAGCCACAATTTTTCCAAAAGCGTCACAGAGTAGAAATGACTTGTGCCAGCTCCGTTTTATAGGTGCATTTTTTCCGCGGGATGAAGTTTTCTGGTTCCCTCCTCATCACCATCAGAGACAGCAACATCAGTGTTGACATTGGTGCTTCGCTGCCGTAGAACCACAAATTTCATGTAATTATACCGAAAGCCTAAGAGTTAAAGGAAAAGAATGAGTGAGGAAAGGTCAGCATTCTGAGATGCCTACACTCCAAGTGCTCAGTCAGATAGTCTGGAATGAAGCTGACGTCACAGACACCACGGACAGCGATCAGCTGCTATTTCTTACAATGTCTCCAACCAAGCGCAGGAGGGGTCACGGCGAACGCATCCTGGAAGTTAGACCCCACCAGCAACACATTAACTCTTCGCAATCATCATCATTGTCAGCTGTATTAACCGCATACTCGTCGTACAATGGTTGTAGCTGCCGCAGTTTCGTTCAACGATGATTTGGTGGGATAGGTACAGTGGGATGTCAAGTGGGGGGTTGGAAAAGGAGCTATGCATTGAAGGCAATAGCTTGGATGCACGAGCGCCATTGAGGGCGCGACTGGACCATATCTGACAATGTCTCTAGCCATTGATGCGGCCCGTCTCGGGGTCCCCATCCAGGAAGATGGCAGTGACCAGCGCAGCTGAGTTTGCTGGTAATGGCTTTCATACTTCGCTGCCAAGTCATTGTTTGACCGCCTCTGGCTCTCTTCCACCCTTCACTCTTCGCAATCTCTTTCACGTTGTCCACTTTGCGGTTTGGGCCATTCTGGAAGAGGCATAGAGAACAACATTCTTCTCGGTAGATGCGTGTTTCGGCATGCGCGTAACATGGCCCAGCCACCGTAGCTGATTGTGCTGGATATTTGTGCGTTTGAAATACCTGCTGCACGACCAAATACCTGTTTTCTAAGCACGAATTCGTTGGTGCCATCCAGCACCAGCAACGCTCATCGGTGGTCAAAAGCCTGAAGACATCTCACGTTATCCGTCCACAGAGGCTTTGTCTCGCAACCACACAGTCTGGCATACGTGACCCTTGACACCCAGTGATAGGCCATTTTGATGTCACAAGTGACGCCAATTTGCAAACGTGGTTTGGGTCTTTGAGATTCGTTCACTGACTTCATCAGACACATCCGTCAGATCCAATACGATTACCGAGGTATGCGAAATTCTCCACATCCCTTTGATTGTGAAGGATGTGCTCAGCGACCTCATGTTTTGAAGCATGGCTTTGCACTTTGAAGGTGCTACATGCATGCCGAAAGATGGTATGATAATGGTCGGTTTACTCAACAGGGCTTGTGTTTCGCCTTAGTCTTCAAAAATGAAGACCCTGTCGCCTACGTACCGCAGATTGGCAAGGTTTCCACCAGAAATAGTGTGAACACCGGGATTTCAAAGATCTTCCAGTGTTCGCTCCATAGTCTCATCGACGACGAATTTGAACAAGAGCGGAGAGAGTGGATATCCTTGTTGGATATCACTTTGTATGTAAATCTTTATAGAGCTCATCATACACTCTGGTCACAAACTTATGTTGGACAATCAAAATGAATGGAACGCACCTTTGAAGTCAAGAGACCAACATTGTGGGTCTTCTGTTCATATGGCGTTGCTCTAACAACTGACAGTGTGCAAATGTGATCGACATAGCCTCTACCTGGTCGAAATCCCGCTTGATGCTAAACAATCGAGGATTCGCGTGCCGCCGTAAGGCGGCGAAGAATCAGTGACACTAGAAGCCTTGTTGCAACGGGAATTAAACTGATACCTCTCTATTCACCAAACTCACCGCCAGTAACGTTCCTGAAAATGGGCACCCGGTTCCAAGATAGACACAAATAGGCTGGACAGGCCATGGTTAAGGATTTCACCACCGTTGTTGAACAGGACAAGTAGAAGTCGTCAGAACCCGGATCACGATGACCTTTACGTAGCGATATAAAGCTGGACATTTCTGAGTCAGAGAGAAGGTTCCACGTTCACAGTATACCCTTCTGTTGAAGGCCGGCAGTGCAGATTGGTAGTGGTAGGTGGACAACTGAAGTGTTGTTCAAAGTGCAGTCTCTAACGGTCCAAACCTCCTTCTGCTGGATACCAGGGTGGCATTCTGGTCTCTGATAGTTTCGTTGTCAAGACGCTTCCGAGTTCCAGTCGAACGAACCAAGTGC